GCCCGAGCGTGAGCGAGAGAGAGAGAGAGAGAGAGAGAGAGAGAGAGAGAGAGAGAGAGAGAGAGAGAGAGAGAGAGCTAGGGTAGGAGGGAGCAGTCGAGTACGGGCAGAGCACCCGAGTACCGTCCCGTAGCGTCACGGAGCGGCAGAGCGCCCGAGTGGCCGAGTGCCCGAGCGTGCCGTAGCGTCTCGTAGCAGCATAGCGCCCTAGTGGATGGCCCCTTCGAATGGCGGACACACATACAGCCCGCCAATGAAAAAGTGGGCGGGAGATTTCAGGGCTGGGCGCGGGGCGCCCGTTCAGAAGTGGCTGGCAGGCGGGATGGTCCAACGCAAAAGAACCAAAAAACAACGAAAAAACAACTAAAAAAAAAGAAGAAAGAAAAAGCAGAAGGGCCGTTTGGGCGGGCCGTGGGCCACTTCCGGTACGAACCGGTATCGCACGGCCCAGATTGCGGGCCGGTCACCACCCGCGGACGGCCCAGATCGCAGGCCGATGAGAAAAGTTTCTCATCGGCCGGCGATCTGGGCCGTCCGCGGGTGGTGACCGGCCCGCAATCTGGGCCGTGCGATATGACATTAGCGGTTTTTATATTATTGTAGATGAAGCCTGACAACGCATGGAACAAACTAGCTTTAGATAGCATTAGAGCGTTGGCGCCAGTGGCCTCACCAGAAAACATGACAGGTCTGTTATGGGTAATGACCAAGGAATGGAGCCCCAAGACAGGGCGGAGAAAACCAAGAAGAGGAACTGGAGCTGAGGAAGCCACTCATCCCACCCCATACTAGACAGCTCTGATTCGGATATGGAGAGAAATTCTGCCAAAGAAGACTAATAGACCAAGGTCCAAAGACGAGGTTCTGAGACAACCACTGTTTGGCAACCAATGGGTTACAGACGAAGGCGATAATCCCCTGCATTTAGATCACAGATGGCTATCATGGGTCAAGAATGGGGTATGGATAGTCACCTATGGAGTGAAGAAAGGAAAGAGTGGGTAACCGGACAGGAGCTGAGCACGCAGTTGAAGGGATACCATAGGCGAGGTTCTAACCTCCAATACATTATTAACCTCATCCCTCAAGACTGGAAAGATATCTTGTGTGAAGCGTCACCGTGGAAATCTGGAGAGTGGGGGGTTAAGGTACAAGAGTCCCCTCCCTCACGAGCCTTCCAATTCTCCCACATGCAACCGGGTTCGACCACCACAGCGTTCTTCTCCTCCGTCCCGATTTCCCCTTCTAAACACGGAATAGCGTCTATATTAAACAGGGAGGTGGAATCAGTAGTCATGGACTTCTTTCTACTTAGGAAGGTAAGAGTACTAGGGCCGTGGCCTAAATCAATCTTCAGACCAGACACGTCAGTCCAGAACCTGGAATTCGACCCGGCAGAATGGGCCTGGACACCAGACAGGGAGAGGAATGTCAAGTCCAAGGTCCCAATATACGACTATAAAGTTAAATTCGGCTACAAACTCCTAGTTAAAACAAAAGACCCAGATCCTATAATCAAAAACAGATGGCAGAAACTAGTAGGTCAGGAATCCGATAAAATTACACAGATCCCATGGAAGAAATTTAAGACTATCAGACCCATAAAAATCAGGAGCCTCCAGTGGCTCATTACGTACGCGGCACTGCCTGTGAATCAATGGCTACATATAAGACGTCAAAAAATTGATCCCACCAGTTCGGACCTATGCATAGTCTGTACAGAAGGGGCTCAAGAAGACATAGTTCACTGCCTAATCCAATGTAGCGAGGCAACAGATTACTGGGCACGGGCCTCAGCCATCTGGGATTCCCTCTTCCATGTCCCCTTCCCCGAGCACCCCATCCAAATCCTCCTCTGGACTAACATCCCCGATCATCTTCAGAAGACAGAGAGGTTGTGGTTCGGACTGATCAGGAAAGCGACTCTACGGACCATTTGGAAGGAAAGATGCTCCAGGACTATCGAAGGACTGTCCAACCCAAGAGAGAAGGTATGGGCGGAGACAAGATCTATGCTACAGGCTGAAATTCTCTGCAGATGGCAGAGGTTAGGCTGTCGATGCCTGAGGACGAGGACCAGCAAGAAAAGGTTAGGAAGAAGTTCACCAGACAGTGGCTAGTGAATGGTAAGGTGGCCGAGTTACGTAATGACCGAGTGTGCTGGAAAGACTGGCACAATTCAGAAGCAGGCCGGAGGCCCCAGACCACACCTGCAGCGGATGGGGGCCACATCAGGTACCAGGCATCAGGTACGAGAACAAAGACATGGTTAAAGGACTTCTAAAGTGGGGACTAGGAAGAGGAGACTTCGCTCAAACCCAGATGCTGTGAAGACTGTCTCAGACAGGACAAGCAATCAGAAGGGCCTAAGGATACATAGAGAGACAGGAATCCATAACGAAACTTGAAGGTCAAGGACCAAAGGTTGAGGACGCAAGAGGTGGGGCAAAACTGAAATATAAGGCCAGGATAGGTAACCTGACGAGAATATAGACTTACCACATACCCGGGTTCAGGACGGAACAGACGGTATTCTTCGTTAACGGAAGGATAGGTACCGTATAAGTTATGGATATGGAAGTGAGAACACATAAGTGGCTACGGACCACAGTTTACAGGTCTCTGTCAATGGAAGGCTAGTAGAGAAGGTATACCACTTAAACGAATAGGGGAAGGGCTAGGGTTAAAGGGGTTAGCCAGCCGGTAGTGACTCAAGGGTTTAGAGTTTAAGGGTTTTAGACAGCCGGTTCAAGGTAGCAGAGGCTAGGCCTACTTTTAAGTAATGTAAATAGGGTTAAGGCATCTTGGTAGACTATAGGCGGTCTTTTTTTGGGAGGCTGAGGGGTGGGAGTGGTCGTTGCTGCTAAGGGCCTTTCTTGGTTTCTCGTTTGTAACTGACAGGTTCCTTCAGTGGGCCTTAGAGGAAAGGGTTAGCGGGGCAAGCTGACAGTCAATCTTCCATATACATGGGGTAATCAATGCTGGCCAGGGGTCCTTCGGCCGTACGGAAGGAAGCGTGTGTGAAGTGCTCATGATGTATTATTGTTTTGACTTGCCGGTGGAATAGGAACCGGACTGACGCTCCCCAGAATGGAAATGGAGCCAGGGCCATAAGGACCTGTTAAAAAAAAAAAAAAAAAAAAAAAAAAACAAGACAAACATGAAGGGCACACTGTATATATGTTATCCAACCTCTGATGAGCATTCCGGAAATTGCCAGAAAGAGCTGCCTCTTGCGAAGTCATCAATGCCAGTGGAGGGCTGATGGCGCGCAGCAAAGCTGAACAGAACACGAAATATCCGTACAGGAAAAACTGCCCCTTGTAACTGCACACAAAGAGTGGAGAAAAGAAATTATTATTGTCGTCATCATGACATGACGTGCACCCCCCCAGGGCCAGAAACCCATTTGCCCAGTCCAAAAAAAAAAGGCAATTAAGTTGCAACAAATCCAAATCCTTCTTTCACCCCACTACCCCCCATCTTCACCCATTCCACAATCCTGAGTTTGAGGTGTGAAGTGGGAGAAGGGGTTACCTCCTTTCTCTGCAGGAAAGGTTTCCGGAGAGACAGAAATAAAGCAACCCACTCACCCACATCTGCACTCTGAGGCGACTCTAAGATGCCCCGCAAAGATATGTCCGCACAGTCTAGAGGAAATGGAACACAGCAATGGCATGCACGCACACACACACACACACACACACACACACACACACACCAACCCGCCCAGGGTTCGTGCGAGTAAAGTAGACCACCTTTCTCAGGGGTGTCGCTAACTCTGGGCAACTTGGCGAGTTCTTATCCATCAGTCAAATGCATCCTGGGCAGACTGTCTGTCCAGGTTCAACCTCCTGATGAGTTGTGAAAAGTTCGACAAAACAGTCTGGCACAGTCATGCTTTTTCTGTGTGGAGTTGTGTATACCGACGACAACAACACACACACACACACACACACACCCGCCCTCCCGACCATGCGCACACACACACACACACACACACACACACACACACACACACACACACACACACACACACACACACACACACACACACCTGCATGTCTGCACAGACACACACACAACGACACAGATGGACAGCAGCATTCGCAGTCGAACACTGAGCTGATGGTGGAGGTACATCGCAGCAAAAAAGGACCACAGTGATTAACACAACCATATGCAGCTACAGAGTTTTAACTGCACTTATCCCAACAGATGAAGGCCGCACAGTGATCGTCGCAGAGCTTACCAAACATATATGTGCACAAGGCTCCCCAGTGTCGCCACAACCACCCAGCAAAACCTTTTTCATCTTCTTTAACAGTGTCGATGTTCAACCTCTACCCCAACCCCTGAGACGACTAGGAAACACAACCATTGGAACAAATGGTGTAAGGGTTGGGCCCCACCGATGCCGTGTTCATGTTAAAAAAAGCAAGAACCTGTCCATTCGCATGACCAGGTTCATTCTTTGCAAGCACGAACACAGAACCAGCGGGGCATAGCCCTACGACACCATATCCTGCCCTTATGGCTGAACAGTTACTGAACCGTGACTGTCAATGAAAAGATCATGAGTTCAAATCCTTACAGAATGACACGACTACAAAAACTTGACCTGCTACTCCCTTAAACGAGAAAAAGAAAAAGAAAAAGAAAAAACATCATACACAGCCACAAGCACATGTTACTACTACCATCTAATACGGCGTCTATTGGAAAAAAAAAAAAAAGACACAAGCCCATGTACTCAGGGATACAGGGGGCAAAGCAACAACACATACATCGTCACATATCTAGGAACTGAAGGAGCGCACTTTACGAAACAAATGACAAAAAATGAAAAACACACGGGAGAAACAAGAAGAGCACACTGAACCCATTATTAGCCCCCCCCCCCTTTACTGTGCCTCTCGCGTACAAGGCTCACCACGTTGATGACGTTAACTGTGAGCAGCTGCCAGATCCCTGTGTGCCATAGCGGCCCACTGGTACACTGTGAGAAAGAGGCAGAGTAAAGGGGAAGGGGATAAAGTTCCAATAAACACAGAGAAGCGAGATGGAAAGAAGACAAACAAAGGAAGACAAAGGGGAAAGTAAGGAGTGTGGAATGAAGATGAAAGCATAGGAAAGGATAAAAAAAGGCTAAAGAATCAGTCTGTCCTTAGACGACAGAGAGAACATACATTGTACGGATGAGGAGGATGAAGGCATGGAAGACCTAGCCGAGCAATCTCATTACAGCGATTGCGACGACGGCAGGGATTGCGCATGCCAACCAAACACTCCTGACAAATGGTATGTTGATTGCAGGCTGACATGAAGGAAGAACGGGCACCACAAAAGACCATGCATTCAGTACAACGACCAAGGCCCCAAAATGAACATGCATTCAGTACAACGCCCAAGGCCCCAAAATGAACATAAAGTGTCCGGATGTGGACGGTACCTGCAGTTAGGAACGGAAGAAAAAGTCCTCTACACACATGGACGCAGAAACCATGTCACTGTAGTCATTGTGACAGAGATGATGGCAGCTACAGCCGAGTGTGACAGTGTTTGTAGTTGTGCAAAGGAGAAGGCTGCAGAGTGTTGGTACACTGTCCTGATGCATCACGGGGGCAGGGGATGATCCTCGACATAAAAGAGATTGTGGACGGTTTGGTGTGGCAAGAAAGCAGCATCATTACGACGCATATATTGTCACATAACTATGAACTAAAAGAGCGCAATTTGTGAAACAAACGGCAAAAAAAAAAAAAAAATCAACAATAAAATAAAATAAAATAAAACAAAAAAAAAAAGAGGAGGCAAACATGAAGGGCACAGTGAAACCATTCATTTTACTCATTCTTCTTTTGACTCCCCTTTCACCGTGCCTCTCACGTACAAGGCTCGCCACGTTGATGAAGTTGAGCGCGAGCTGCCCCCATCCCCGTGTGCCTTAACAGCCCACTTGTACGCTGTGAAAAAGAGGGAGAGTGAAGGGGGAGGAGATAAACACAGGGAGGAGAGATGGAGAGGAGACAAACAAAGAAAGAAAAGGCTCAAGAATGAGTATGTCCTTGACGACAGAGAGGACATACATTGTAAGGATAACGTGGATGAACACATGGAAGACCTAGCTGAGCATTCTCAGTGCAACAATTGCCACGACGGGTGGCATTGAGCATGCCCGCCATACACCTATACTGTCTGTCACATAGTCGGCGAAACTCCGACAAAACAGTCTGTCACAGCCCCTTGTTTGTTGTCCTCCTTCTCTGCCCACGGTTCACCTGGCAGTTATCCTTGTATATATCGTCACAAACAGAACTGCCCGGTAAACCGTAGGCAGAGAGAGAGAAGAGGACAACAAACGAGGGGCTGTGACAAACTGTTTATATGGCGAGCCTTGTACGTGAGAGGCAAGGTGAAAGGGGAGTTAAAAGAAGAACGAGAAAAATGAATGGTTTCAGTGTGCCCTTCATGTTTGTCTTGTTTTTTTATTTTTTATTTTTGCCGTTTGTTTTGCGAAGTGCACTCTTTTAGTTCATAGTTATGTGACAATATATATATATTGTCACATCACTACAAACTAAAAGAGCGCACTTTGCGGAACAAAGAATAAAAGCAAAAAACGGGCACAGTGATAACATGCAAAAATAAAAATAAAAAGAAAAACAAAAAGAAAAAACAAGGG